TGTCTTGGATGGCAGTGATGATAGAGGCCTGGATGCTTGATTCGTTCAACTTCAAGTGACATCATCAAGACGCGATCGATTAGATCCCAGTCTTCTCCGCCCCATTTGTATTGGTAGTCTTGAGTGTTCATCCCTGATTGGGCAAAGATAAGTTTTTCAAACAAATAGATCAGAGACAAACTGAAGCAACTTTTAAAATAACTGGTAAGTAAAAGGGTTCTTTTTTCTCGTTTGTAATTTAATCCAATTACTAGTAATACCTTTAAAATCGTACATGCATGTCATTGCGGAGTAATGATAGATCTTCGGCCTCGTCTTATTCACCCTTACACATTAATTAAAAGGGAGTATAAAAAAGCTCATGACATTTTTCAAATCGCTGGGGAAATATAGAGCGTTTTCACTCACGTGGCCAGCATCTATGCTAATTCATTGGAACAAAAGAAAGTTTTTACATAAGAAAAGAGTTCAATTCCGACAGGGTTGTCTTGGTACACCAACATGGCCGCCGTTTCATTGCTTTGGAACACCAATATGGCCGCCGTGACGTCATGTGAAAACGCTCTTTACATCGGTGTCCTAATAGTTTATCTTATATGTGCCTTCATTGGTCTGGGTGGTTAGGGTTAGGGTTAGGGTTAGGGATGAGTTCATACATACACTCAAGCGGTAATGCTGACGTCCAATATTACTTTTGGTTTTTGCAATTCAGCCACCGGTTAAATGTAAGAAAACTGGCACCAGCACATGTTTTCCGTTCGTGGTTCCCGCTTCTAATTCTAACTAGCACTTCAAACTTTCGTTAAGATACCACCCTGGATCTTGGCTTGCACCCTTTAGACGAGTCACTTTTAAGACTCCCTCCTGGTCTTTTCCAAATCATTGAAGCAGACCAAATAACTTAAGCTGCAGTTTTTAGTTTCACATATTGCATACCTCCTAATTTTGTCCAGTCTGACTTGTAAATCGCCATAAGACCAAACCCGTTCATTTGCCAAAACCCTCGATGTTTCGATGAATCACTGTTACAATTAAGGCGACCAACTATAGGAAAATACACCATTCTACCAGCTATGGTGTTCTGTAAAATGATATATACATCACTGCTTCAGAATGAATGTTTAGTGCTATTGTATGCCCAGGAAAGTTTAGGTCTCCGTGTACAGACTTGAGGCAACTCACATCATTACAGCCTGAGAAAACAGCCGACATTTGGCGACGCTACCACTGATTTCCCCGCCAAATGACGTCTGAGAAACGAGCAGAGAAATTCCATACTGATGAAGCGTCACTACCCAGATCTGGGTAGTGCTTCTGATTGGTCCTGCCGCGTCGGAAATTTGATTCAACCAATCAGATGCACTACCCAGATCTGGGTAGTGACGCGACATCAGTATGGGATTTCTGCCCTCGTTTCTCAGACGTCATTTGGCGGGGAAACTAGTGGTAGCGTCACCAAATGTCGGCTGTTTTCTCAGGCTAACGTCATTAACAAGTAAAAGATATCCACAATTTTTAGTGAGATAGATAGAAGTGCCCCANAAGGGACTTATCCGGATATAACAGCCTAATTCTAGCCTTCGCAGCAAACATTATTGCTCTACTTCCAACTCAGTTTCGCGCTTTAATTCGAGTGGAAACCCTTGTCACGTGGGCTAGCCTAATTCCACATCCCTTGTCTTGGATGGCAGTGATGATAGAGGCCTGGATGCTTGATTCGTTCAACTTCAAGTGACATCATCAAGACGCGATCGATTAGATCCCAGTCTTCTCCGCCCCATTTGTATTGGTAGTCTTGAGTGTTCATCCCTGATTGGGCAAAGATAAGTTTTTCAAACAAATAGATCAGAGACAAACTGAAGCAACTTTTAAAATAACTGGTAAGTAAAAGGGTTCTTTTTTCTCGTTTGTAATTTAATCCAATTACTAGTAATACCTTTAAAATCGTACATGCATGTCATTGCGGAGTAATGATAGATCTTCGGCCTCGTCTTATTCACCCTTACACATTAATTAAAAGGGAGTATAAAAAAGCTCATGACATTTTTCAAATCGCTGGGGAAATATAGAGCGTTTTCACTCACGTGGCCAGCATCTATGCTAATTCATTGGAACAAAAGAAAGTTTTTACATAAGAAAAGAGTTCAATTCCGACAGGGTTGTCTTGGTACACCAACATGGCCGCCGTTTCATTGCTTTGGAACACCAATATGGCCGCCGTGACGTCATGTGAAAACGCTCTTTACATCGGTGTCCTAATAGTTTATCTTATATGTGCCTTCATTGGTCTGGGTGGTTAGGGTTAGGGTTAGGGTTAGGGATGAGTTCATACATACACTCAAGCGGTAATGCTGACGTCCAATATTACTTTTGGTTTTTGCAATTCAGCCACCGGTTAAATGTAAGAAAACTGGCACCAGCACATGTTTTCCGTTCGTGGTTCCCGCTTCTAATTCTAACTAGCACTTCAAACTTTCGTTAAGATACCACCCTGGATCTTGGCTTGCACCCTTTAGACGAGTCACTTTTAAGACTCCCTCCTGGTCTTTTCCAAATCATTGAAGCAGACCAAATAACTTAAGCTGCAGTTTTTAGTTTCACATATTGCATACCTCCTAATTTTGTCCAGTCTGACTTGTAAATCGCCATAAGACCAAACCCGTTCATTTGCCAAAACCCTCGATGTTTCGATGAATCACTGTTACAATTAAGGCGACCAACTATAGGAAAATACACCATTCTACCAGCTATGGTGTTCTGTAAAATGATATATACATCACTGCTTCAGAATGAATGTTTAGTGCTATTGTATGCCCAGGAAAGTTTAGGTCTCCGTGTACAGACTTGAGGCAACTCACATCATTACAGCCTGAGAAAACAGCCGACATTTGGCGACGCTACCACTGATTTCCCCGCCAAATGACGTCTGAGAAACGAGCAGAGAAATTCCATACTGATGAAGCGTCACTACCCAGATCTGGGTAGTGCTTCTGATTGGTCCTGCCGCGTCGGAAATTTGATTCAACCAATCAGATGCACTACCCAGATCTGGGTAGTGACGCGACATCAGTATGGGATTTCTGCCCTCGTTTCTCAGACGTCATTTGGCGGGGAAACTAGTGGTAGCGTCACCAAATGTCGGCTGTTTTCTCAGGCTAACGTCATTAACAAGTAAAAGATATCCACAATTTTTAGTGAGATAGATAGAAGTGCCCCACTATAGAGGATAAACTTGTGGCCACTTTGAATTTTCTCTTATGACCATGGCAGCGAGTATTACTGCGTATGCTAAGGAATGCAAGTGCTCGTCTGAGCATTTTCGTCCCTAAAGCCACTCTGCTTAACCCTAACCCCTCGTTTCAAGATCATGCGACCAAAAGAAACGACGGGACGAGAATATCGTCTGGGAACGCAGCGTTTCTGTTTAAAAACTAGGAATTAATCAATTTTTTGGTTATTGCTAATCTATATTTGTCACGTTTCTTGTTGATAACTTGCTCCACAAACTGTTTTTTTTTTTGGGCATTGATTAACGTTTTTAAGGAAAACCAAATCTCTCTTATGTGGAGGCCTTTTCCACTTTAGTACACTTGTCCTTTTGCGAGTAGAGTATTTTTCCCTGGAAAATAAAGAAACTCTACTCCGTATGGGTTATCATCCGTAGTATGCTAAATTAAAAAATCAGACTAAATGTCATCAACAAACTTTCAAAATATTGTTTAGTCCTTAAACTCAGTTTTGTTTTTGTTATTCACTTTTGTTACCAGGTGGATTAAAATTTGAATTAAATTTAGTCAGGGGCACCCAAAGATGGTTTTCTGTATGTCTGTTCGGAGAAGCAAATATTGTCTAGAATTTTCTATTGCTTGAGGACGGCTAAAATTTCTAAATGATCGTTTCATTCATCTACAATTTTCGAGGCTTATCCAATAAATTCCCTACGATTTTCTGAAGTTTAATTTTCACATTTCACTACCCAGGTTAGGCTATTTTTCTTGCAAAAAAGGAAAACAAAAATTTTCGAATTCGAAAATGTGATGGAGAGAGGCATCAGAAAAATCCTTACTTTCGTAAAACGTTGAATTGCATCTAAAATTTCGGGAAAATAATGCTGAAGCCCTTGTTATTTCGAAAAGACTCAAGTTCCCCTAGGCTGAACGAACAGATACAAATTTTATAGCGCCGCTTAGAATGCATTTCTAGAGATCCAAAAGTACTCTAGGTAGCCTAAAAAGTGTTTTCAATTTATTTAGGAGGAAATCGTCGTTGGGTGCCCCTGATTAGTAGCTGATTAATAGGCCTTCTAGCTACAATCCTGGACAAAACTACTGGAGAAAATGTTTTCATTAATGCGCGCTACCTAACGCAACAAAACTATTTCCAAATCAACGGCTTTGCGTAAAGATAACCCCCTCTCCCAGTTCAAAGTTGCTTCCTACAAATGCTTAGGGATCCGGCTTTCTTTTGAAGACCCAACAACACTGCTTCCAGGGGAAGGGGCGGAGGGAAGAATCGGTCGGCTACGAAGTTCAGAAAAAATGCCCCCCAAGTATGCAATTTTCTCAACAGTTTTGTCCAAGATTGTAGCAATAGTGGCCATGCGCAAATGCAAGCAATCCACTTGCATCTTTCTATTCATGTAATTTTATTCCCAAACCTATACTTTCAGACACTTACTTTTCGAATACTATCCATAATATTGCCGGGTACATCAATGTGCAGGTCGAACAAGAAGACTATGTCATGCGCATTGGGTACGACTTCAACAGCCTTGTTCAAAGCTAGTGTCTTATAAAATTTTCCAGTTCGTAATTGGACAACAGTATGCCTCCTATTGAGAAGTGATGTGTTGAATGCTTTTTCTAAATCAATATCTTTGCTTTCAAAATCAGCGATAATGACGTGAAAATTAGTATCACCGGTCAATACACTTGCAGTAGTGACCTGTTTGATGAAATGATGTATCCATTTTCCTTGCTCCTTGACAGGAATGATAAAGTAAATTGTGGCGTTGTTATTCCAATTCATTCCCTCAGGAAGACACAAGGTACCACTTTCTTTCTTCTGGTAAACGTGTTCTGTCAACCTAAATGTTTGATCGGTGCAATTAAAAGCGACTTCAAGATCCAGCAAGAAGCGATCACCATTCTCGGCGTCCGGTTTTTGAATCACGTTATTGATATTCTTTAAGAAAATGTCACTGAAAAAAGAACAAATGAAAATACAGCAGCACATAACTGGTTTTACACAGACAATTATCAGGGTGGGGCAGGGCAGAGCATTTGGTCGCTTTTTGACCGTTCTTATAGTCAAGCGATCTAGAGTCATGTACCAGCTCTCCTAACCCTAAAAACCAATTGGTTCGATAACCTAACCGTGAAACAATACGAAAATAATAAGAAACAATGATGTGTTATTGTTTTCTGCGACTAATGAGGAAACACCTTACGAGCAGCTCCTACATTACTGGATCTAGAGAGTAGCTCTAGTGGCAGTGGTTCAAAGAGGGTCTTCAAATGATGGATAGCACCATCCAACGGATAAATCACCATACAGTGGATAAGCATTAGAGGAGTCTTAGAGGAATATTGTCTGATCCACCTTTGGACAACCGGAGTCTGGAGTTGTGAATGTTTGACCATCTCGTTAGATTTCCTTTATTCACCATTTTCACATAGACCATTATTCCCCTTGTTTACCACCCAACATTTTGCATAACCATTATCTTCGATTTCTCTTGGGACCAGGCTATAATACGCAAGTGAAAATGGAAACAATGGATACAAGGTGCATTATGGTCTATGTGAAAATGGCGAGTACGTCTGCAATGGGTAGATATTTCATATATGATTCCTATAGTGTAATGGGTAGATCTTCATATATGATTCCTATAGTGTACCGATATACAGTAAAAACCCACGAGTAAGAACCTAAGATTTAAGAACCTGTCAGGCTAAAATTTGCAATTTAGACCCCCTCTATATAAGAACCTCTTTAGCCTAAAATTTGGAGAACAGTTCTTATTTTCAAAAATCATTTTAAAAGGTTTACTAATTGCAATAATTGCAAAAGGCGCCGCCCAATTTCCGTTTTCGCGTAGACTATTATTTTTTAGTTCTCCAGACAACTGCATTTGGAAACAATTACTTGGCACGTAAAAATTTGGGGAAGAGGGGGAGGGGGGGTAAAACCTAGCAGATTGTATGGGGGATTCGAACTTGATCGTCAATGGTAAATATAGTTCTACAAAGATGGTATCAACTTATCGCGAGTGTCGATTGTTATGTTTCAAATAACTCTTAATAATTTCGCAGTGCTAACGCTGCGTTAGTTAGCAAACATTCGGAACAGGTGTGTATATAAAGCAGCTGGGGTTGTTTGTATACAATCCATTTCGACATCATACGTAAGTTTCTAACTTGGGCTCCCCCCCTCCCTCCTCCCTCCTACCAAAAAAAAATTAAAATTAAAACATCTTACTGTGCTCTCGGGGACCCGGATTTAAAAAACAAGAGAATTAACCCGTGCATCTTACTTAGTATAACACCTTTAAAGATTCATGACCGTTAGAAAATAGAAAATGGAAAATTTGAGGAAATAGTTAAAGATGAAGAGCTGGAGCCGTGATGGTAAGTTCTACTTCAAAGAAAAAACACATACACCCTAATTACCCCTGAATATCAGTCAAATTTTTAAGAAAGTAACGCCACTTACTTCCGCCGTAAAATGGACATAAACTCGTTTACAATGCACTCAACTCTGTTCTTGTTTATTACAGGATTGGGTGATGCCCATTTCTGAATTTGTTCTTTGCTAAACATATCGGTATCGTCTTTCGGAAACACAAGGGATTCCTTTGTCAGCCAAACTCCCTGATAACGTTCGAGCTTTCTTCGCACCAAGAAACTGGGATTGTAAGGGCAAGTTGGAAATAAAGTCATGTACTCCATTCTGTTCATCAGTGGCAGACGAAGAAATCGTTCCTGCAAATTGCTTTCAGTGCCGCTGTTGCACCGGCGGGGACTTCGTTCCAAACTATTGGTGCCATAAAAAGGAGATAAATACTTGGATAAAATAATTCTAAAGTTCGAGTTCTTTGAAGCGGAAGTGTTCAGCCAATGAACTGTGACAAAGGTTTCATCAGAACTTTGCCTGTTCACTGCAAGTGACTCCATGTAGTATTTCTTGCCAGCGTAAAGAGAGATTTCACTAGATATTTGGCCAAGGTATTTATTATACTCTTCTTTTAAGGTGGAGGGCCATTCATCAAGCGAGTAGACACGTGCGATCAATTGGCTGCAGGCGGGGTGCTCATTCGGACTCAACCAAAGCTCAGATGGGCCACTTGATGTGATAGCAAACGTGTACTTGCCATCAACTTGCGGATGGATAAAACCAAAAATTCTTTGTCCTTTATTCGTTGAATCGTTGACTGTTCTGCTGTGAAAGTCCGTTATGAAAGAACGCTTGTTCGGAACGTTCGCAAAATGGGGCCAGTTTCGCAACGCGTCCATGGCCGTTTCAGATATATTCCACCAGACATGTTCGTTCACCATTCCGTGGTTCGTGTGGACTGTAGGAAAATTTTGTAGGGAAAACGAGATTCCTCCTTCTGCTTCTTCGTGCTTCAAAATAATATTAGGAAATGACTCGGAGGAAAAGTTGAGTGTTTCAGAAAGCGTGTATTGTATGTAAGGAAATATGAAAGACAGACTTCCTAATAGCGTAATTATGGCGAAGTACCGCTTGAGATACCTTGTTCGAGAAAGTATCAAAAACCTCGGCCTAGAAGCCATATGTCCTGAGATGAGTTTAAAAAGAAGCAGAAGTTACTGTGGCGTTTGACTAACTTACAGGCTTGAGCCCGAATACGATCATTATGCTTCACAACTCAACATAACACATTTCCTTCTACGATCTAAAAAAGAAAACAAACAGCAGAAAAAAAAGTGCGGCGTACTGTTTGCTAAGGAAGTTTGCGTATAAATGCGTAATTCCGGGGTGGTCATTACACTAAAAGACATATTTCGACAGCTTAAGAGCGGATGTCTGTAAATATCAACCAGAGGTAGAAAAAAAAAAATTTTGAAAAAGCCCCAAAAAATTATGTAGATTCCCCTAGGTATTCTAGTAATGAAAATATAAATTTTAGTTTCATTGGATAAATATTTTGGCGATACGGCGAATGTCAAGTTCGGGCGATTGACGGCCTCCGCCAGACCGCCGTTTTCGGGTTCCTAGACCGGGCTTCGAAAAGACCACGATTTCAATCGAATTCAAATATCATTCAACCCAAATAGCTTCTTATCGTATTAAAAGGGGTTTAATACACATACTGAGTGGTCATGCTCTTGAATTGATCGGAACTGGAATACTTTATGGATTTTTAAATATTTACAAAATTTTAAGGCTTTTACGCGAGCAAAATATTGTCAGATTTCAAAGGCCTAAAATCACATCCAATACACGATTTTTAACAGAAAAAGACATTCCACGTTAAAAAGCAATCTTTAAGCTTTCAAAATATGCTTTCAAAACTCTGGGCAACATATGAAATGAATTTTTGAGAACGCAAAATTCACAGAGCACTTGAGTGTAATTTGACCTTTCTGACTCGACAGTCAAAGAGGTTCGGCGCGACACAAATCATTCCTCCAACAAATGTTTCAGCCAAAATACGTTTAATTTAGGTAATCTCAAGTCCCACAGTGATACATAGATGCTTCATATACATTAGGTGGAAAGTTTCATGCCATTTTGTCAGCCTTAAAGAACTATTTCTCTGGCCTTCGGGTGCAGTAGTTGAACATACACTTAAGCCATCTATATGGATTAGTTTAAAAGAAAACTTTACCAGCTAATTTGCGGGTATACCATCCTCGGAGACCCAGGGGCAGTTGGTCGGGTCGATAAAATGTTCGTGGTGAAAGTTTACTGTAAGATCGAGACGAGACCTCGTCTCGATCTTACAGTAAACTTTCACCACGAACATTTTATCGACCCGACCAACTGCCCCTGGGTCTCCGAGGATGCGGGTATACCACTGCGAATAAAATAAATAAAAGAAGAGATAAAAATAAATGAGACAATAAAAATTAAAGTCAATTTGCTATTAAGCCCCCCGAGGGGCTTTTGTAGTTCAAACACGTTTAAGGGGTAGGGGCGGTTAATAGAGACGGGGGGCTGATTTAATTTAGTAAAGACGATGGTATCAGTTCTCAATAAAGAACTAGAATACAAAGTGAAAAAGCTCAAATACAAGACGTTGCAGCCGAGGATCAAAAGCAACTTCCAGTTCCAGTTGGTGAATACAGTAAACGATCCTGGATCAGGCCAAATGAAGTTTTACAGTGGTCATAAATTCATAAAGTGTATTTTTTCAGATTCACACGAGTAAAGGGAGCCAAAATGAATGAATGAATGAATGAATGAATGAATGAAGAGTCGTGGATGAGAGGACAACAGACGTGCCCTCTTACAATACATTTTAACATGTGAACAGTAAGCTGGGACGTCAGCATACAAAGGCGCCACTGGCAGCCGCTCTCAGTCCATTTATAAGATAAGTGTAAGTGCTGTGAGACGGCACCTACGGTTTTTCATCCTTATCCGAGAAGACTAGAAAGTCTAACCGTTTGCAGATGTCATTACAAAGGTAGCACTTTCTTCTCAGTTATTTAAATACCTGAGTGTTAGTCCAGCCGGGGTTCTAGCCCGTGACTTCCCGCTCAGCAGACCGGCGCTCTCCCAATTGAGCTAACCAGGGACAACAACTGAGCTGCGCTATTGGGACAAGATGTTCCCGTGCTCAAGATAAGTGAGGTATTTCATTGCTACCTCTACTACGCACCTCAGTTTTTATCTATGCTCATTTTAACTGCGTTACTTCTCGCTGACATCCTTTGCAAGATATCCGCGCTTTATGAAAGTCACCCATCGCGACCATCTTACGGAAATCAGTAGAGTGTCAAAACTCGGTTGGATTTAACGTCAAGTGTTCGGAGCAATTCAAGCAAGTTTACAAATTAAATACGTTACTTTGTCCAGTTCACTATCATTCATTTAAAAAATTTTCCAGTAATGTAAGGCCAATTCTGTTTACTTTCAATCTGCTATAACTTGCTCTCTTATTATGTTTTACCCATTTTTTATGTCTTTAAGCTGTTGCAACTTGTACGGCATTTTCTTCCTTTCTTCCAATCCGATAATAAATATATTTTAAATAGGCTTACTTCCAAGGGTCCTCTCCTACTCGACTTGACGAACACAGTGTTGAGGCATTTTGGCCAGAAATCAAATTCTATGCTTCTGTAACAAGAGTGCTAATAAAAAATGTATAATTGGATGAAACAGACAAAGCAAGGGGCACATATATCAATTCACAGCTTAAACCCACGGCCTGGCCAGTACTTCAAGCATGCGCACAGCCATATCACCTAGACAGCAGCATCCATCGACAGCTGTTGGGATTTCCGCGCATGGCTACATACATACATACATACATACTTTATTTAAGGTATCATAAGAAATAAACGATACAAACAATACCCTAAAAAGGAAGTTTAAGAGGTTGACCCTATGTAAATAAACTTCCAAAAATACAAATTAAAAATATATGCTTATGAATAAAATCTAAGATCTAAGATGGATAAAAACCTAAGAAATACGCATGTATCTCAACAACATTGGCGGGCAGGTCATTCCATTCACGAATAATTTTAACAAAGAAAGAGTATTTATAACAATTGCAGTTATCCGATTTAACTTGCAGTTAAATCTACCCTCCGAAGTCTTTCTGTAATGGGTACACAATGGACTTTTAAGTTGAGATGCCTTTTAAAATTTACCATCCATTACGCAATGATCATAGTCAAAAGAAGGTTGATTATAATTCATTTAATCACAGACTTTTTCACTTTTCGGCTGACTACAGATTTTTAAGTTTAAGATTTTTATTCTAACTTACAGTAAATACATTTTACTCATAAGGACATTATGAAATTTCTGGGATTAAACCTTGAGCCCTCTCAGCCGCCAGTATATTTATTGATTTGGCAATGTCCTAGGTATTTAGCACACCCTGAATCTCCAACCTTATTTGCGTAATCTTGAGCTGATTTCTGGGCGTCTGAACGACCTTTACCGCAACCGTATGCAAAGTCAGGGCAGTTTAATTCTTTCGGTATGTTGCCGCGCTTTTTACATTTAGCGTAGTGCCAGTTTTTCACCAGCCCTTGACCGCACTGCCCTGCAATACTCTCAAACCAACTGGGGGGAACTCCTCCACGTGAAGATTGAGCGTCTGGCACAGTAACCAAAAGAACCAGCAAAATGCACACAACAAATGGAACGAGTTTCATGGCGTCCATGTAATACTAGCTGTGGAGAGGATAAGGTAGGCAAATCAGCAATCAACTAACTACATTCGAGCACCCCGTAACTGAGCGACAATCCAAAATGCGAGAGGCAGTGGTCGCTTTCGGGAGATTATTGCTTACAAGAGTCGAACTGCAGGAAGTCTTTTACGAGGAGAAGTTCGGACACATCTACTTTTTGTAGAAAATGTATTACATGCCGCCAATGTTTAGGTTATATGCTGTTTGTTGTTTCTAAAAGTTCTTCTCATACTCCGAGTAGCGTAGTAAATACAGCGGACACAAAGATCAGACCATTGTATTAGATGGTCGCTTAGAAGAGAGTTAAAAAAAAATTTGTTGTTTGGGATAAGAGCTTGTTTATGGGAGGTGATCTCACATGGAAGTTGGACTGTATGAAAAAATTAAGTGAATCCTAAGGATAATATATTCATTTCGTTATAAAAATATGGGGCACTTTAGTAGGAGGAAAAGCAGTTACAACAGGTACAAAATTCACATCGTCAAAATTCATCAATACACGATAAAAATCAGTCTCCACGACGTAGCTGAGGAATACTTGCTACGGTACGACACTTTACTAATCATGATAATTCAGTGGCAATTGGAGTCGTATAAGGACATGATATATAATGGTAACTTAACTGAGTGGAGTGTAATTTTGTTTATGGCGTGTGGTTTAACATTAATTGATCGAAATGTGGCACCTTTAAAATATTTTTTTCATTTTATAACCGCTTATTTGAATTAGTTAATGGTAATTATATTAAGAAGACTTACTTTCAATTAGCTGGTTCCCAGGAAGCCTCCTTTTTCGTTAACTCTTGGTGAGAGAATTAGCAGGGTGTTCTCCTTGTCGCAATGCTGTTTATCTAACTGCTGTACGCAACTGAGGACTAAAACTTCATGAATGATGGCTTTATTAAAGGCGACCACTTAATGGAGGTCAAATTTACGTGAATAAAAAAATTTCATAAGTGACCCATTTAATGGAGGGCGGTCAGATTTGAAGTGAATAAGGAATTCCATAAATGACCGTTTAATTGTTGGTGGCCGCTTAATGGGGGTCAATCGCAGTGAATAAAGATCCCCCTTTGATGGAGGGTGACCGATTAATAGGTTAACCTTCCATTAAAGGGGTCACTTATGCAATTCTTTATTCACTGTAACCAGCTATTTTCGGCACGCGCTCATCTGTTGAAACTAAATACTGTCCTTTCTGTCTTAGATCATTAATCATACCTTCCCTATAACCTCTCGCGGGAAACAAAAACCAGCCCAATCTCGTTACCCTTGTCCAGCGGAACGGGCAACGGGGACCTCTGGGATAATTTTGCTGGTTCGCTGTCAAGGGTAACGCGGACTCTGGGAACAAGATTTAAACCAGCCTAGTCCCTCGGCGTTGATCTCGGCTGGGTCAA